AATGCACGCACAAACACGCGTTAAACAGCCGCATGTACCCAGTTTATATTTGCGTGACGATGCAAACAGCAATGAGGAGGAGAGATAAACAACAAGAAGGAAGGCAGGGAGGTTAACCAGGCACATGCCCGGTTTGCTATCCTACGCTGGGAGAATGGGAAGGGGTCATAAAGATGAGAGAGAGAGGAAAGAGAAGAGAAAGAAAGGGAGAAAAAACGAAAAAGGAGGATTGTCAGTCAATCGGCTGGCGCGTATGCAGCGGTGGCACTACACAAAAGTTAAAGGTGGTCACGTAGGCCTGTAGTCTTCAAAAAGCACAAGACAGCTTTGACTGCTTTTTTATCCGACGAAAGGCGATAGCATCAAACAGTAGCATCAAACAGCAACACGCATGGAAACCCGCAACACCAGAATCTGGTATACAGCGCTTCTTCTCGCGAGGATGGTAGCACTGGACAATGCTACATAAATAAACTTCAGCGGATTGCGCTTAGGTACAATTGGCGATAACCCGACGAGATGGTCGTATCATATAAGTACATCTGTAATGTTTATAAAGTTGGATAGCCAGTACTGCGACCACTATTGACGTTTCTCGAACACTAGGATCTATTGGAAAAGTAGTTCTGAGACCTACCATGGTTCTGCGGAGCCGCGCCGTTGCTTTAAACAGCTTAATAATACACTATCTATCTATCTATCTATCTATCTATCTATCTATCTATCTATCTATCTATCTATCTATCTATCTATCTATCTATCTATCTATCTATCTATCTATCTATCTATCTATCTATCTATCTATCTGTCTGTCTGTCTGTCTGTCTATCTGTCTGTCTGTCTGTCTGTCTATCTATCTATCTATCTATCTATCTATCTATCTATCTATCTATCTATCTATCTATCTATCTATCTATCTATCTATCTATCTATCTATCTATCTATCTATCTATCTATCTATCTCATTTCGTTTATTTTACCCTCAATCGCACATAGCTTTACAGAGGGGAGTGGGGTACAAAAATAATAAACTATAAACAAGAGCAAACATAGTAACAACAAAATAATAAAGATTACAAGATATAAAAATTCGATGTTAGGCAATACACTGAATGTATGTGTAAGTATCATCAGAAACATGGGGGAAACAGAGTACAAAAATATCATTGTACTCTGTTTCATTGTACTCATCATTGTACTCATCAGGGGATGAGGATAACTCATCCCCTGATCAAGGGAAGACCCCTCCCGAAACTGTTGGGAAATAAATATATTTATCCTTGTTGACAACGCTCCCGTTGTGCCATATCCCATACCTTCACGAAGACTAACTAGCCCATTGAATTATTACTCCCACTATATTTTTTTTTATTCGGTGAGTGCCCCGCTTTGCTCAAAAAGGCGTTACAGCAGGGGGTTTACAGACTGGAATAAAACAATTCTTCGTTTATACAGCACACTTGCTTGTCTTGCAGCCGGTTCCAATCTCTAATGGTCATCACAAAAAAGGAATTATAAAACATGGTCGTTCTTGCACGATATTCTTTCACTTTGCGTCGGTGGCCATGTCGACTAGATATGTAACTGGGTTCACTGAAATAGTTATGACGGTCAATCCCAGTCCGCCCATAAAAAAACAGAAAAGAAAAACTTCAAACGCAGTTTTTTCCTGCGTAAAGAAAGCAATTCCCAACCCACTTCAGCTTTCATAGCACTGCAGCTTTCTCTCCGCTCGTACCGCCCTAAAACAAACCGCGCAGCTCTGTTTTGTATTTTTTCAAGCTTATCAATCAAGTTCGCCTGCATCGGGTTCCACACAGGACATGCGTATTCCAAAATCGGTCTAATACATGTGAGATAGGCTGTATTTTTTAATGTTCGGGCTGCCAATCTTAGGTTCCTCTGAATGAAGTTTAGAGCCCTTGCCGCTTTGCCAGCAACGTGATCAACATTGGCATTCCATGAGCAGTCATGCGACAAAACAACGCCAAGATATTTGCATGTTGGTTCGGTAATAACAGTATGCGTATCTATGGTGTACGCCGTTACTATTGGTTTCTTTTTTTTTGGAAACACGCATATGAACGCACTTTTTGGGGTTTAGCGTCATTTGCCACTTCTGGCACCACTGTACAATACAATCCAAATCGTTCTGCAAATAAGCACAGTCACCTTCGTTCTGAACCTGTCGATATAACACACAATCGTCGGCAAATAACGCATGCGCGACGAAATACCCACAGAAATATCATTTACAAAAATAAGAAATAAGAGAGGCCCAAGGACAGAGCCTTGGGGCACGCCTGATGTAACGTTAACATAGGATGAACACTTCCCATTTAAAAGAACGCATTGACGCCTGTTCAGCAAGTAATTGGTTATCCAGGTGAACACATTTGGGTCGAAATTTAGGTGTCTGTAATTTAGCCAGGAGAAGGGAGTGTGACACGGTGTCAAAGGCCTTTCGAAAATCTAAAAACACACAATCTGTTTGCCCACCTTCATCAACGTTGGAAGCCAGCTCGTGAAAGAACTCTGCAAGTTGCATCGTACAAGAAAAACCTTTACGAAAACCGTGCTGCTCATTTATTAATACATTATTAGCAGTAAGATGGGTCAATATGTGCTTGGATAAAATGTGCTCGAAAATTTCGCATGCCACTGGCGTCAATGAAATGGGTCGGTAATTTGTTACATCTTTTTTTGAGCCACCCTTGTGAACCGGAACAACATGAGAAATTTTCCAATCTTCGGGTAGAGTTCCCGTTGAAAGGGATTTTGAATAAATTATATAAAGGTAAAGGGAAATTGGCAGTGCACATCGCTTTAGAATACGAGGAGAGATGCCATCAGGACCAACTGCTTTGGATTCATCTTGGTTTTCTAGAAGAGAACATATGCCACGGACACTCAGTTCTACCGGTGGCATCGGCGGAATCGTGGTTGGGTGTGGTTTTGAAGGAACGTCAAGCTTGGGCAAGAACACAGACTGGAAATATTTGTTTAAACAGGTAGCTTTTGCTTCCTCATCAACTACAACCATATTATTAAAGTTTAGTTCAGCCACTCCAACATGATCAGACCCACACTCTTTGATATAATGCCAGAAAGACTTTGAATTAGTTTTCATTTTATTGCTGAGCCCTTCGAAATATTTCGTTTTTGCGCTTTCCACACATGATTTATACTGCTCCGTTAATGCGTGTAATTCTTTCACGTGGTCACTGCTTCCAGATTTCTTTAATTTACCAAAAACCCGTCGCCTTTTCCGGATTAATCTCAAAATACCGGACGTCATCCATGGCTTCTTGCGTTTACGAAGCTTTCCGGCTTGTTTCGCAGGTATATACTTATCTACGAGTGCTAACAACTTGTCCTTAAAGCTAAGCCATAAATCATTCACACTGTAGTGTTCAGCTAGGCATTCAAACACGGGCAAATAATCTTCTAGCTTTTCGACTATTCTTGTGTAGTCACCCCTACTGAACAGAAAAACCTTTCTTGCCGCACTATTTGAGGTGTTTTTACATTCTTTTTTTATTTCTGCAACAACAGCCATGTGGTCGCTGATTCCTGGAATAACATTGACATTATTCACCAAACTGGGTGAATTTGAGAACACAAGGTCAAGAAGGTTATTATTTCTAGTTGGGCAAGTAACAAACTGGTATATATCATAAAGTGGAAATCCATGTAATAGTCCGTGGCAGAGGCGTAGAATCGCGCTAGCTGACAATGCGCGGGAGTTTCGCAACGATTCGGTGTTCTGAAATCCCACTCAATAGGTGCTATGCGACATTTAATGATGGTCATCAGCAAAAGAATCAACAATTTTAGCAGCTGTGTAGGCTCGCGTGCTGCTTTACGGACTAAAATATCTTGCTGGGTTCTAATGTCATGGTCAGTCGTAAAGCTGGTGGTAGAACATAGCTCTTACTATTTCCACCATATGGTTACTATTTCCACCTTATGGTTACTTTCGCAATAAAGATGTGCCAGTGTTACCTCTTTTTAAGAAGATCCAACTAACGTTTCTTTGCAATGGTCATGCATCCAAATTGTTCTCCTGAAGAGTATCCTTATGCACACGTCTTTGATGTTACCGCATATCTACCCGTTGTCATAGTACCCCCCCAACTCGTATGAGCATGGAACATCGCATATTAGCAGGTGTTATCAGCAGGGTCGTATCAGCTGGCGTTGCAGCGCCCAAATTAATATATCGTGGCGCAAATAACGCGGAGAATATCATATACAGGGGCATAACACAACAACGCATGCATATAGTCTGCATTTTGCTTTGTTTCGTATTTCCTTCACTCTGTAGCCTAAGAAGCAATGCTTGTAGTCACTCACGTCGATGAAGTAGTATTTAAATGGTAACTCATCATTGGCAGAGCGCGAAACCGGCTCCTAGTCGACACTCGGGAGGTTATTCTGTGACGAACCGCCTTCGGGCCCTGCGCGCGGCGGTCGAAGCTTGGCGCACGAGGACCATGGACCACGGACCACGGACCACGTGTCTTTCGTGTCCTTGTCTCTGTGTCGTCGTTTTGTTCTCGCGCTATAACTATCGTCATGCCATACCAACTAGCCCAAGCTGCCACACGGCAAAGAGAAACCCGCATTCGTATCGCAACAATTCAGTCGATGAATCACGCACATGTACTCTACTGTGCGTTCTCCGCGTGTTTCGTTCTCGACGTCGTTACTAAACCATAAACATATCAGGAGCTATACTGATATTTCATCCTGTATCTCGATCCACTTCATTCCCTTGTGACATTCTTCCCCAAACTCGTACGAACACTACGACATGGTGCAGCCTCCGTTTCCCAAAACTTTATGGTGCCAGATTTCCTCCCAGAGCCTCTAGACCAAGGCATCTACACTATGCATATAGGTTTATTATTCAGGGAGCGTGTGAGGTTCTGACCATATTACTGCTAAGATTCAGTATTCTTTATCAGCGTGCTTTTTTCGCAATATATCCGCCAGCGTGTCATCTAAGCCCCTTTATAAGCTCCAGAAAGACAAAACACGCAATGGATGACAGAAAAAGCACACAGAACTTGTTCGCGCGTCTCTTTCCCCGTTCACGCCCACTGCGCGTCGGTGCCTTTGGCCGTCGCCCCTTTCAGAGCAGCATCCGTGGCGTTCAACCCTTGCATGTCGAGCAGTCCCGCAGAAGGCGCGCCCTTGACCTCCGACCGCTGGGACCGCTGCCTCGAGAGGCAAGCTGGCGGCACGGGCTCGGCGAACATGAAACATACAACTCCCAAAAAGTCCGAGACTGCCCTTCGCTGGACCTCCTCGCCGTGCCGCCCATTGACGACGACGAACGGGACGTACGGAACCGCTGGCCGGTGGGACGCTGTCTTGTGGCCCATCATCAGCAGGAGTCGGTGTCCAGTTCGCGTCGTCATGCAGCGCTCGAGCGCCGACCAGCTGATGCCGACTCGCGACGAGCACGACTTGGCCACCCTGTGCGGATTCTCGGAGGACTCCATGCAGACAACGTACGCGAGCAGCTGGTAGGTGTCCCTGTAGAGCGACACGGCGCACGCCTGGATCATGTTGGCGACGCACTCGTTGTGGCCGTGCTGGCACGAGATCTCGGTCCTCCTCCGCCCGTCGGCGTCCACGAACTCTCTCTTCAGCGCCATGCCGTAGGGCACGAGGTCGACGTCGAGCCGGTCGCTGAGCTTCAGGTAGACTGGCCACAGCTGTGATGTGATGAACTGGCGGCTGTACGGGCAGTGGGTCTCGTAGAATAGTTTGACCTCGACGCGATTCGACGGTTGGCCACGGCCGTCGTCGAAGTCAGTGGAGGCGACCGCGGTCAGCTGACACAGAAAGCAGAAGACGATAACCGGTACGAACCACCGAGACGCCATGTTGCCTTTTCGCTATCGTCTTTCTTCTTTTCTCGGAGCCGCATGCCTGCACGCGCTGGATCCACAGGGTCGTTTCATGGGCAGCGTGACGGTGCAGGTTGAGTTCCGCAGTCTGAAAAATAGGGGTGTTAGTGTCAACATATGTACCCACTGAACTAGAAATAACCCCATATAGCGTCTGCAAAATTAGGCTCGCGAACGCTTCTGCGGAGAACCAGCGTCTTTTCGGCACACTGCTTTCATTCCCCACGGAAGCTCCCCAACCAATAACACACCACTGAGCCTTGGCCAGCTCTTTAACCTCGTGAAATGGCCTAACAGGTCCCGAGGGACCACGTCGATGCTCGAAGCATTTTAAATTATGGACGCTTTTTTGACAGCTGTATTGTTTGTTTGTTTGTTTGTTGGGTCGGTAGGCCGATCGGTCAATTGGTCTGTCGGTCGTTTGTTTGCTTGTTTGTTTGTTCGCTTGTTTGTCAACTCAAAGGCTCTGGCACATACCCACTGTGGATAATTGGCCAAGAATGCTTGTTGTAATGTATGATAACTACACAATGATTGCCATCCTATCACTAAAATGTACAAAGAAAAATGAAAAATAAATCACAAATTATCTTTTAAAAATAAATACGTTAATCTCTTTCTCTCTCGCGCGCGCGCTCTCTCTGCGCGTGTACTTCGATTTATTGTTATTGCGAGATGTGGCAGGTGACCAATTTGAAGGTTTTCGGGTTAGGGTTCCATCTGTCGTGACAGAAAGGGTGTTTTTCCGTCGAATCTACTTCATTTGAACTGACATCATAATTACTTCAGTACAGCTGAAAAGAAAAAATCCTAGTCTCTAGTCTGTCTGTCTGTCTGTCTGTCTGTCTGTCTGTCTGTCTGTCTGTCTATCTATCTATCTATCTATCTATCTATCTATCTATCTATCTATCTATCTATCTATCTATCTATCTATCTATCTATCTATCTATCTATCTATCTATCTATCTATCTGTCTGTCTGTCTGTCTGTCTGTCTGTCTGTCTGTCTGTCTGTCTGTCTGTCTGTCTGTCTGTCTATCTATCTATCTATCTATCTATCTATCTATCTATCTATCTATCTATCTATCTATCTATCTATCTATCTATCTATCTATCTATCTATCTATCTGTCTGTCTGTCTGTCTGTCTGTCTGTCTGTCTGTCTGTCTGTCTGTCTGTCTGTCTGTCTGTCTGTCTGTCTGTCTGTCTGTCTGTCTGTCTGTCTGTCTGTCTGTCTATCTATCTATCTATCTATCTATCTATCTATCTATCTATCTATCTATCTATCTATCTATCTATCTATCTATCTATCTATCTATCTATCTATCTATCTATCTATCGTTCAGTCTTCAATGGGTGGTTTCGTTGATTTTCGGAGGAGACGGCCCGAATCCCTTCACTGTGTTCGATGATAAAAAATATGCATACTGACCTGAGTATCTTCGACACCGCTTGCGGTGAATGCCGTATACGCTCGCACCGATTCCCGCTGTGCGTTGTCATTTCAGCAGTTGCTTGCAGCCAGGGCTGAACACTATCCCGATACTAGAGTATCGCGATAGTATTTCAGAGGTACTTTTCAGTATCTGTATTGCTGTATCCCGATACTTTTCAAAAATTTATTGGCATCTCAGTAGTGAAATACTTTCACGATGTATCGCCCGTATCGCGATACTACCTCGGACACCGGGTATCTCGTTACTTTTTTTGTGTGTCACTGTGGTGGACCGCGGCAAGATATGCATTCAACATTTCTACATTTCTATAGTGAGAACGAAACTGACTCCTAACTTCTTGAAAGCGAGCTAGTCCCTTCGCTACCTCATCCCATTGTGCAACTTCAGGCAGAACTGGAATGTGTTTGAATCACCGCCTGCTTGAGCTTGCCAACAATGTTATACTATCATTTTGAATTCCAGCAGTGTTTTTTTCATTGTGAAGAGCATTGTATACTGCACAATGGGCGCCAAACAACAGCGTCGTTTTTAAAATGTGCAGTGATTTTTTTTTTCTCTCGCTTTTTTTCTCTTTTTTTTTTCGGCGCCCATTTGAAAAACCTCAGATTATCACGGGAGCCACAAACAGCCCAAAGAATTTGGTGTGTGGTGCCGTGCGCCATCAACGATACTTTTTTCTATAAAGCATTCCTGGAAGACGCCAGCGCGGCCACACGGCGATTGGAAGGAGGTCCTTTTGCGTTTTCTTTCGCAGTCTTTGTTTTGTTCGTTCTTCTTTTTGCTTTTTTTCTAGGTTTCTAGGACAAACCGAACCTTGAACTGGAAATAAGCGCTCGTCTTCATTGTTTATGTGTTCCACTCCTGCTTCGCACTAGGCCACTTTAGCAAAACTAGAAACCAACTAGCCCGAACCACTAGTCTACTAAGTAGAAGGTATTTCAAGTAAGCGCCGCCATTACAACGGCAACAAGGAATTCATTAGCCTTGCTTTCTTTCTTTAATCAGAGACGCATGCTGACTGCTGTGTTCGGGCAGTGTTGGCTGCGTTACAAGTAACCGCGTTAGTATAGTAGTACATTGCTTTTTTTAGGTAACTCAGGGGACTCGCTGGCTGGATTCCGTGCCGAACGGTTGTGCCCTCGCGATCTCCGACGACAGCGCAGCTCGGGCCGACTGGGTCCTATACGCCACCTCCTGCCGCCGGTCCCCTTCGACGACGTCAGCGCAGCTCTGGCCGACTGGATTAGCCCTACGCCATCTCCTGTCACGGACAAGAGCTCTCGCAAGTGGTGCCCCGTCCTCGGACTCGTGCGACCGTGTTTCCATCTTTCCTATCCCTCCTATCTCTCTTATGTCGTCGCTCGCTGTCCTAGCGCATCTCTCCATCTCTCTCCATGTATATACCTTTAATTCTATCCTTTTAATTCCTCCTCACCTCCATCCCTTGTGAGCTACTGTTGAGGTGTCGCACGCTGATGCAGACAGTTACGGGGCTCACTTTTCTCTTCTTTTCCCTCTTATAACCACAATCTTGGGTAACTCAGTGACATATGCTCGTAACTCATTGCAATTTAGGAGCTGTAGCGGGTAACGTACTTACATTGAGATGGCGGTCCCTCTCCGGCGGCGCCCGCTTCGCATTTAGGTCATTGTTTGCTGACGCAATACGCATACTGCACTCACCGTATCGGTGCGAATTGTATTGCATTACAAAGCTTACGCTCTCCACTTACAGCTAGCATTGTCGCCTAGTCTGAAGCGGTGTTGCATAGAAATGGAAACAATGCAACCAAAAACCATTGTTTTTTGCTGTACAAGCCATTGTTGTACTGGCCGTGCGACGAAACCGTTCAACATAACCAAATGAAATTTGCTGAGCACCTTAATGAAGCATTGTGCAAGGTTTACATGAAGAAATATAGCCAGTAAAGTAATTATTAGGGGCTGCAGGCTCTAATGAAAATGGGCAAGACAATGTAAGTTTATGAGTGAATAGCTGTTTTATGTTTTTTGTAGAACGACAATATTGAAAGGATTTTTAGGCTACAATGTACATAATGTAAGAGTGCAGTTGTTCTATGTTCTGATGAATAGTTTATGAATTATTATTACTTGAATGCGGCAGTTGACGGCTCCACATGTTCAGGCATTACCGACGAAGTCACAAGGGTATCCAAGCTAAAATTCTGAAGTTATTAATCTGTAAGCAGCAAGCCTTTCTCTGGGTTTTTGTGAAGGGAAATTTGTTTTAAGGTAATTGGAAAATTGTAGGACAGCAGTAAATTAACGTCATTTTTCTGCTTACCAGGTTCGCGCAAATTTACTTTTATTTTTACTTTCTATGCTAATGCACAACAAGCATTGCACATTAGCAGGACCATTACATGTCTTGTAATTACCAGTGCTCACTAATTTTACAAAGCCGTGCTTGAAACAACAGATTTTAAAAAAATAATATATCTCGCAAATATCTTTTGTTGGTGACGCCGTCTGTGGGGAAAAAAAACCCATGAAGTTGTCTCGCGTCAGTTCCTAGGCTTGTCAAAAGTGACGCCGTTAAACACGACTGCCTTCGAAACACCTATGGGCTATTTCTCCAGTCTCTAAACTTCAGTGTTTAGCCCAGTGGCTAAATCTAGTCGCTACGCCTTGAGTACACAATGTAACCCCCGGAGGGCTGCTAAAAAAAGGAAAAGAAAGAACTAGAGGAGGCGACAGAAACAACGAAGGAAAAAAAAGCGTGTTACATTTCTGACGAAGAGGTTAGGCTATGTTGTGCCGAGGATCCCAGGACCAGCGTGGTTGCTCGCCTGTGTAGCCAGAAGAGCGCAGAAGCGTTTTTGAAGTACACAAAAAACTTGACCTTGCCTTGAGACTCGTATCATCTTGATCACTGCCTCTCTTACATTACCCGGTAGTCTGCTTTCTCTACGCGGGGAGGTGACGAGTGTTTGGCAGTTTGTGTTCGACTACTTCACGTGACACCTGTTGAACAATAGTATAAAACAATGGACCATCATGTGCACACACAGCGACACTCGCACACATATGCTCTGGGAGTGTAGAACAACTCCTCCCGACTCTACCTCAAGCAAGTGGGAGAGGTCCCTCAGGAGCTCACTTCTCGCCGACCAGCAATGGGCCGTCCAGCAGGCCCACGAAGCGGCCGCCAGGTACTCCCTGTCGGTCCGTATACTTCGGAGACGCCCGCTACGCGCTAAGCGCGTCCTGCAGGACTGAAATAAAGTTTTTTTTCATTCGATTCCATTCCTTTTTTGAGAGACTAGTCTGCGCATGCGAAGGGGTGGTGACTTTTTGACGTGGGCCATGTTTTTTTTTCGAGGTCAGAAGGCCAAACAGCTTCTCTAAACGCGGCACAGGGTGGCGACAATGGCGGACTGAAGGGCACCTGACATTGTTTGCAAATCATCCCGAAAAATAATATACTCCGTTTCATACATCAGGTGCAACGATGTGGAAGCTATGCAAGAAGTTCGGCCAGCAAAGCGTATAACTCCGCGCGTTTCGTGGTCGCTCGCGTGGCATGTGGCATCTGATTAGTGCCGATGCACCCTCGCGTTTCTTTGCGCTCCCCTTTGGCGCGACTGGCCAACGCCACCTAGACTAGGTGGCGTTGGACTGGCGAACAGAAGAAAGTAGGGTGAGCACAAAAAAAACCCGGGTACCGAACGACCCTACGGTGTCCTATCCTGCACTGACACTAAAAGTCCAGGTGGCCGCCATCGTGACGTACCAAAGCTATATATAGTCCACGGGATTTTTTTTTACCGGTGCGTGGTGGATAACTCCAGAGGCCATGGACCCCCAATTTCGATTCTGCTGATCTCCATGGAGGTGCTGTTCAGACTTGAAACAGGCCCATTGACAAGTTTGTGGAAAACAGTTTTGCTCGCATATGCGCAGTAACGATCTTGTAAGCCGTGAGTTAGCGAGCCGCCATATTTACAACCAACTTTGTAGACCGCTCTTGACGTTAACGCCGCGTTCCATGGTAACCAACAGAACGCAGTGCGAACTGGGATACGAATTTGATCTTTTATCTGTCCAAAAAGGGGTTTTGCCAGAGCCCGGAAAGCCCCACCCACGAAATGTTTTTCGCCGTGCGTACAAGTGCAAAATGACCATTTGCCGGCCCGGTAGGTGCCCATTGCCCCCCGATTAAAAATTATGGATACAACCACGCCCCGACTCCGGGAACTCTATTTTCAGGGATGCCGCCCCATCTCCCTTTCTTCCCTCGGTAAAATTAAGGAGTCCTGGAGCTTTCCCTCCCTCTATTTTTACTTGCGTTGATCAGGTTTAATGATTTCTTGCCTTCTGAGCCTCTTCTATAGATGTGAGGAAACGATCGGTCACTTCTTCTTATGCTGTCGCCAGTAAACGACATTGAGCAAATTAATAATAGTGGCTCATTAATTTTCGAAAGCTGGGCCTGGAGCCATCAGAACCAACTATTCCTTCTTTTGGGGCCACTTCTGGTACCCATGCAGCTACGGGTATGTTTCCTCCATCATTCATCTTCGTAACTAAGCGAATATCTCGATAAGTTCTTTGGGAATAAATATTTATTTACTGGTAATTGCTACTTTGAATCAATGTTTTGTAGAACTGTAGCATCTAGGAATGATACACTACAGAAAAATATGGAAGGATTCAACCACTACTCGAGTATTCCCGTGCATTGGGTATGAGCCGTGCTCGAAGGACAACAACTCACAAGCCACACCGACAACGATAAGTGAGCCACTCTAAACGAGTATCGACACCTCTTGTTCTCTTGGCGTAGGTGTTTCTGTTCAACGTGAGAAGAGGAAGTTATTTTAAAAATATTATGCTGTGACGTTCCGAAATTAAAACTGTATATGCACAGAGCTGGTCTGGCCCCTTCCCGTCTTTGCTCGTTTTGTAACTTGGACGTAACAATCGAGCATTATTTTTAACATGCGACCGGTTCGATTTTTTTAGGAAAAACATTTTGAAATTGGTGTTCAATCGCATTAGAGTGGATTTTTTAAATTTCAAATGTTCTATTCTTGGGAGCCTCTTCATTAGGTCATTGTCACCGGGTTCTCTGTCGTGTGGTAGAAATTTCTTTAATGAATCGGGGCGCTTTTAATTCCAAGTATGTAAATTGACATCATTAAGTTATTCCAGCTATTTTATATTTCATTAGTAATGCAAATAATATATGATCACTTTTCCTTATAAATATTTCTGTCTTGGCCAATTCCCCAGAGTGTCTTTTGTAAGCCTATATGTTGTCAATCATCGTCATCATCACCGACAACAACATCCACGCATGGGTCGCCCAGCAGCGCTGGCAGCTGCGAGTACAGGACGACGCGCTCGGCGGACCTCGTCGCGATCCTCCCTGCGCTAACCATCATCCCGGAGAAGGCGACCGCGGTCGCACGACCCGTCATCGCGGTGAGCGGCGACCGCTCCACCGAGGAGCGGCCCGATGACAGAGTTGGTGGTGGTGGCGTGGCTGTCGTCATGGCTCCACGTTTGCGCGATAAAGGCGGCGTCGTCCGGACGTCGCGGTTTCTGCTGTGGCTAGCGGTGCTGTCCGCAGTCGCCTGCTGCGGGCGCGCCATGCAAGGCTTCGTGCGCCGGCGTCGCGTCGACTTCTCGCAAATTCCCAAGACGGCGCGCATCCAGCTGTACTACGAGTCGCTCTGCCCGTACAGCGTCGCCTTCATCACCGAGCAGCTGTGGCCGACGTACGTGCGCGTCGGCTACCTCATGGACGTCCAGCTGGTGCCGTTCGGCAACGCCTTCAAGGAGCAGCAGCAAGAAAAGCCGTACGTGAACCAGCCAAACGGGCCAACATGACAGATCTTGCCCTTATTGAGGCGAAAGCCCTAGATGCTCTCGGCAAACGCGAAATCTGTCGTCGGCATGCCGTGGCGTCGTGGACGAGGGAGGCGAAGCGTCGTGACGTCACAGATTGCCACAACGTTGGCGTCATTATAATGTCACAGTGGCGTCACGTGACGTAACTTCACATATGATTGATTGATATGTGAGGTTTAACGTCCCAAAACCACCATATGATTATGAGAGACGCCGTAGTGGAGGGCTCCGCAAATTTCGACCACCTGGGATTCTTTAACGTGTACCCAAATCTGATCACACAAGCCTGCAACATTTCCGCCTCCATCGGAAACGCAGCCGCCGCTACATGATGACGTCATCGCATGGTATGGTAGCTTGTTGAAAGGTACCCCGATTAGAGGTAATGCGAAACCAGGTGAAGTGTCTCCTCCGATCTTGTTAGGCACCTCTCCTGAGAGTTTTTTCGTTATTGGATTGAATGTAGCGTTCTATAAAGAAGGCCTTCTGCGAGTAATGGATCTAATGCCACGTTAGGTGCCCCATGAAATGCGAAAATAGACCGTCGGCACAGTAACGAGTGATCACGAGTGATCAAGAGTCACGTGATGACGTCCCCATATGAAGTCGTCACGACCTGCTCCTCGAAAAAAAAAAAATCCTTGCTTTTCGAGGTGCTCGATATCGCACCGCATCATCTTGTACAAATAACAGAACGAACTTTCGGTAGGATGTGCGTTCGTGCCGTCTGTGCACACGACCGTTTCCGGATTCGAACTTTGTGGATTAGTTGCACTGGAGTACCCAGAGAGCAACACACCAGGCCCGTGCCCCCCCCCCCCCCCCCCGGAGTATTTTTCCCCATGGCACATATAGCACAAAATGACGCTCGGTTACATCTGCCAACGGGGCCGGCCCCCACTTCGGATCAAAGAGGTGCCCCCCCCCCCAAAAAAAAAACATCCTGTCTACGCCCTTCGCAAGTTGGTACTGCATATCTTACATTTAAAGGCAAGAAAAATGTCAGTGCAGAACAATGTAGCAAGCGCTGTGTTCCCGTGTTTCTTTGAGCTAAATTTTACTTCGGAAACCTAGTTTGTTACATGCGAGTCGGAAGGGGGGGGAAGGGGGTGCATAAGGGGCACTTGCCCCCGTCAAGCCTCACCAGCACTTCCTCTCACCCAATCTACACCAGTGCTCTCCCCCTCCCCCAGCCGCGATGCAACACCCATTCGCACACCCCCAAAAAGGAAATCGAGCCGACGACCATGATTGTAAAGCTTGCCGTGAACGCGTCTTCCCAGTAACTCCTCCCGCGCGGAACGCTTTGCCGTGGGCCGCCGCCAGGAGGCCGACTACAAGTACAGCTGCCAGCATGGGCCCGACGAGTGCTTCGGCAACGTGGTGCAGTCTTGCGCGGCGCACATCTTCAACGACACCATCCTGTCGCTGGCGTTCGTCACGTGCATGTCGCTGGCCGAGCGCCCTCACGAGGCGGGAAGGGAGTGCGCCCGAGGCATCGCGCGCAACTGGAACGCCATCCAGCGGTGTGCCAACGGCGGCAAGGGACGCGTGCTGCAGGTATAGACCCATTCCATGTTTGTAAACGCAGGTAGGCCGATGTCGAGATTATGGGTAAAATTATAGCGACGTCCGCACGTAACTTCCGCCATATGCACTGGGGGGGGGGGGGGGAAGTGGTTCTTAAAATTGGAAAAGAAAAGAAAAGTGAACCCCGCAACTGTCTGCAGCTAAGTGCGACACCTCAGCAGTGGTTCACATGGGAAGGGGAATGGGGGATAATAGACTTGAGCGAAGAGAGGAAAGAGAAAGGAGAGAGCGAGCAAAGGAAGGGGGGGGACGCGGCGCAGTGCCTTATAGGGGTGGGGGGAAGGAGGGATAAAAAGAATAGAAGGAAAGTAGAAGCAGAAGAAGACAGCCAACGAGAGGAAAAAGAAGGAGATAGGAAAGTGGGGATCCGGTCGAAGCAGTCCAAGGGCGGGGTGCCACAATGCGAGAGCTACACGGCATCAGGAGACCGCGGAGGGCGAACCAGTCGGCGGGAGCTACGCTGAAGTCGGAGATCGCGAGGGCACAACCGTCCAGCTTGAAATCCTCCGAGCGAATCCGCCATATGCACTGAGGGCTGCGATGTGCGCCAACAAAACGACGTTGTGAGACGCCATCAGCGTTGTAAAAGCCATAAGCGCTGAGGGCTGCGATGTGCGCCAACAAACAAAACTAAGTTGTGAGACGCGACTCACATCCAACCGCGGCGCAGTTCGGCATACCATTTTTTTTCTCGTTGCTTCACTTATAACACCACACGCACCATTGGAAACCCAGCAGAAACTGCGGCAGGCAGAGCGTATTTTGCCTACCAAAACAGCGCCACTACATTTTCGTGACGTAAGTCCGATGGAATTTGTATATATATGTATATGTCTTATATGACGGTTCAACAGGGCCTTGTCAGTATAAACGCGTGCGCAGGTTGTTGATGAAGGGGCAGCCCCTCCCCCCGCCGCCTTGGGAGTGGGTGGGGCAAGTCTGTCCCATACGTTCGCTCAGTCACTTTAAACAATGATGACCCGTCATTCTTCAAAGTACAACTTCTACCACAACAGTGTTTTATACCGGGGTCCACCGTGGCTTAGCTGACGCATTTCTGTCACAGATATGACGTAATGAAATGTATACTCAAAAACTGCAAAAAAAAACAGCGGAATATTTTGCCACAGGGTGTCGAACCAGTGACCTCATAGTTAGAAGCGGGCAACGCAAGCCGCTAAACCATGGAACACGTGTTGAGAAGCTTGCTAACGGCGAGCCATTTATATGCACCATATACCGTTGGCAATTCTCAGAGCTCCTCAACTTCACCGCGTTTTCGTCATGAGTAGTTCTATGGCGCATCAGGCACGCGTTGAGTAAAGTCCCTTGATATTGTTACGGGAAGGGATCACATATCATCCACCAGACACCTGTGACAACTTGACGCGAATCGTCAGGCGGGAGCTTGAAGCGACTGCTCCAGCTGAGGTGGGACCAACGTCCCCTGACCCCTCCCCGCCAATTACGTTGCCTCTCATTCAAGCAGTCGTCCGGCAGGAAATCGCCAGCTTGGGAATTCACTCTATCTCACCGCCTCCCCGCACCGACTACCAGCCCCGAGCAGCGCCAGCCACACAGATTAGCTCGTGCCAGTCTATCTGCTTTCTCTTCTTCAGCTCCATGCACTGGCACGTAGCAATATAGAGAAAGTATACCAACACTCTCCTCCATATCCTCTCCAAATGTCCAACCCTCCTCTCCCAAGTGTCCAGAACATTATCTATATCCTCTCCCGAACGGCCACCATACGGGCGCCGGCCCTATAACTCGGATCGCGCTATTGTCATATCAAGAATGTTATGTCACAGTGATAACACGCGCGATACTCGTGGCGGCCCGAAAGGCGAGATACGGGAGAGGAGGGTGCGTGGTGCGGCGGCTCGGTTAAAAGGATTGCGGTACTTTCCTAAAAATATCCAGGGTCTTTAGCGTTGTGCGCCTCTCGCGTTTTCTTGAGCGCGCGCCTCCACGGGGCATGGTCTCTCCTGTGGCCGCGCTTATCAGATCAGAGTCGGGATTCGGCAGAGCACGAAGGTCACTTCGCTCGCTGCCGCGGCCGCGTTTGCGAAAGCAGCACGCTGCTCAGGTACGACGAAGTAAGAATTGTGACAGTTGTTCGCGCTCAACCCGTGTGTATTTGTGCGTTCGTCTCGTGCGTATTTATTTCTGTTTGAACAGCGTGCTTGAAGTGTCGAGCTGAGACAGTTGTTTGGCCGTGTTCCTTCTGTGTATGCTCATTTCGTGCGTGCCTCCTGCATGAGTTGCGCACTGTAAGTTTCCAGCTTCTTGCCTTTCTTCGCCCTTGTGACAAAACACTGCAAAATAAATGCTCAGCTACATGGGTGAAGACCCCCCCCCCCGAAAAAAAAACTGCTTTTGCCCCTGACTGTTTGTCATCACCTTTATCATCCAAAGCTTTGCCGTTCTATTCACGATTGATTGATTGATTTGTGGGGTTTAACGTCCCAAAACCACCATATGATTATGATAGACGCCGTAGTGGAGGGCTCCGGAAATTTCGACCACCTGGGGTTCTTTAACGTGCACCCAAAACTGAGCACACGGGCCTACAACATTTCCGCCTCCTTCGGAAATGCAGCCGCCGCAGCAGGGATTTGATCCCGCGACCTGCGGGCAGCCGAGTACCTTAGCCACTAGACCACCGCGGCGGGGCCGTTCTATTCATGCGGTGTTTCAACCAGATAAACGCGAAGTCTCACAACTTTTTCGACCAATCGAAAAACAATGTGGCTGATGATCTTCTTACAATGCTGATATTGCTCTTAAAGCTACCCTCTATGTCTTCAGCCTCGCACTAATAAAATATTTCTTCGTTACAGCCGATATATCTCGGCGGTTCGCGAGTTCTTTTAGTGTCGTTGTAAAAAGATAATTACAACCGATACGTAGTTTGACCACCCAGGGTTAGTATTTATAGTTCACTATATCAGTGTTACTTATAATCATAGATTCAACTTTGCCAACAATGACATCCAACAAGGCCACTATTGTCTTATCTAAAGCATCTCACAATAACGTATGAATTTCAAATATGCGTGGTATGGCGTCAGTAACATGCAGATGACAGGCTGTGTTATTCAGTGGGCGATCTGTTGTAATAAATCTTGTAAATTGCGACAGTACATTCCGGACTCCTCGCAAGTCGTATCGGACGACGACACTTCGCAACCGGGTGTCTGCTGAAGACTAATTAAATAACACGACGGACAACTATACGATATCCGCAGGACGAGATGGGCGAGCGCACATGGAATCTGGATCCTCCGCACCACTACGTACCCTGGCTAGTCATCAACGGCGTGCACAACGACGAACAGCAAGCCATGGCGCAGACAGACCTCTTACAGGTTAGCGACTCCTCTTCCAAAAGTTTTCAGCGCCACTTACCAGAGGTATTACGCAGTAATACAGACCAAGCAGGAAAATGTATCCTCCCGCCCACTCGTCATTGAACGAAGGACAGGCGGTGGCGTGGCGCCTATACATCAGACCCACACGTTCCCAAGAGTCCGGTAACAATGAACCGCTGCGTGCCGGAACTTCATTCGGACAAGTGTAGATCTTGCAATAGCAGGGCGGACTTGAGCCACGTTTTATGGGCATGCCCGGAGGCACCCATGAGAGGCTAATTTCCTTGACGGGAGTGGATGGAATGCCGTGCTCCTCAGCTCTTACTCGCAATTACAAGCCCGCCTAATACGGCAGGCCGAAGATGATCATGGCTGTCGTCTATAGGGTGGGTCCTCCCTTCCCCCCCCCCCTACTTCGTGCCAGAAAGGGGAGGATGATATTTCTGCTAATTAAATTAAGTTTGTTCGTAATCATCATTCGAGACATATACATGCGACAAGATGAGATCGCTTCTGCAAGATATATTTTCGTGGGGTTGTGACGTTCCGAAGGCAGTGTGTCGGCGTTTCCGAGTCATAACTCTTTATTTTAGGCGAACACGTGCCCCAAAACACGAAATGTCACCCTACAAGCAATACACACTGTAGACTGATGTCGGTGAACAGAACTTCGGGGTCAAGCGCGTCGGCTTTGACACGCGTATCATAGAAGATTAAAGCGTTATCACTGTAGCGGCCGCGTAAGTTGCAGGACTACAGAATGTTCAAGCTGAGCACGTAATCTCATTGGACGGTTCTAATATCATCTATAGGTAGTTCCCAGTCATTCGGGCGCGCTTTGCTAAATGCAGCAGTTACATTGTAATGGGTTGGTAACGTAAAAATAGAAAGGAGTGGGTGTAGCAATATATACGTTTGTGTAGATGCGGTCACGTGTGTAAGGGGTTTAAGGGTTCCTGAACCACTTGCGATCACGTGTGTAAGGTAGACGTGTGTTGGTGCCATAAACAACGAACGGTTGGAAATCTTTGCTCGTCCCTGTCGTTTCTGTTTGCTGTGTACGTACGTTTCGGCGCTGACCTTTTTTAAATGTGGAACACCAGCAAGCCCGCTTCCACACCTTGCTTTGGTGAGTCCGAGTTGTATTCCTGTCGCGCTTGCAATGTGTGTCGCGCTGAACGCCAATCTGAGCAATCATTCCGGCCTCCGAGATCTCCGATACTGGGCAGCCTAAGGAGGTTTTAAAAATATTGCTGTAGTGGAAGCTCTCGCGATGCTTTGCCAGCAATAGCGAAGCCAGCTTTTACCCTCCAAATATCTCGGAAACGTGCTGTTTTCTGGTGTTGCCCATTTGGAGATCAAGTGGCGTTAACCTGTTAGTCCAAACGCTACGTTAATTATAAATGAAAAGGTAGTCGTTTCCTATGAAGCACACATAGAGACGAGTAACGGTAACTTAATCTCCTATAAAATTTGCCTTGAATTCAAGGTTTACTAAAGAGACACTTTGAGCACTCTCTCGCCCGAAAAAAGTTATCACGTTAAAGACGTTGGGCGTGCGAGAAAGACGCTCCTTTTCATTCGCCAAGTGCCTGCAGCTCATCATGCCCCTAGTAAGATGGCAGGCGCAGACGCCATTTTACGGTGGGTATACGGCTGTGCACTGTAGCATTTGTTTTTTTAATCGGCTTGAGGCAACCCGCCATCCCAGTGATCTCAGAGTATTTGTGCCGCGCTTAACGAAATTACGTACCAGATATCGAGATTCTTGTGTCGAATTGAAACCAACGTAATATCGAAGAAAAAGAAAGTTTTTAGTAGGCATAGACCGACGTACGCGAGAAAAGAGCGTTAGCTAATGTTCCAAGCGCGTGACATATCAGCTAACGTTCTTCCTTTAAAAAGGGGCCTGAAAACCTATGCTTTCATTCACCTCTTTTTGTCGGACGGGTGGCAATATACTTAGACCAAGAAGTATTAGTATGTATACTACCACTAGTAAACAACTACTGCTGTATAGCTGTAGCAGCAACCGTAGCAAACTTTTTTTGTCGGTCTGATTGAAGTCAGTCGCCCTTGCGAGATTGGCTCTTAGTACTGCGCGGTGCTCCTTAAGCCTTAGCTGCTGGGCGAGCTGGGTTCACCAACGGTCGTTGTGGTCGCCCAGGGTAAAGTTGAGTACCATCGAGACTGGGTATACCGTTCAGTGTGCGGAGAAGGGCTGGATTATATGGATGCCCCCGCAAGTATAAGGTACGATTCAAACGTGTTCTAAAGTGCTCTTTAGGGATGATGAACCATTTTTCTAAGTAATCTAGAGTGCCCTCAAGGAATACTGAATCATTCTTCTGAGATATAGTAGAATGACTTCATCGACTGCCGCCAAATCCGAGCAAATTTGTCAAAAAACGAATGGGGTTACAGGGAATACAGAGGGAAGGAAGTTACGTCAGGGCGTCATGTCCTTGAGCGCGCGTGACGGAATACAATCGCTCTCTTCAGTTGTGATCACTGTGCGCGAGCATGGATCACTGTGTGATGTTGGCAGACTGTGGAGTGCGGCACGGACTCATGGCGGCACCCCTTGTCAAGACGCGCACATGATCCAAACGGTACTATTCAGTCATGTCGGCTATTAGCAATGGCGTGGTTGTTCTAGAACGGCTCTAGAGGACTATGACACAAGTAAGAAAACATTCACAACACTACGGTTGTTGACTGCTAACTGTTCATTTTTTTGTTGAAAGCAAGGAACAGATACTTCAAGCAGGAACCTTGACAGGTTCTTTGCACGCGCGAGATTCAACAATTGGTCACGTGTCGAGGTTCCTGCTTGAAATATCTCTTCCTTCCAAAGAGGCAGTCTGCGCTCGGTGTCCTGAATGCTTTCTTACTTGTGCCTTCGACTTCTCGCGCAGTTTAAGAAAGCTTTTCTGCAACGAACCAACTAGCCTACCGGCAACGTTTTACTGAACTAGGCCTAGGTGTGTTGTTTGACGTCGAACAGCAGTCGTCGGCAGCTCAAAACAAGCGTTAATGCGCCCCGCGACACAACTCCGACGCCGCAGGTCGTGTGCGACGCGACACCCGACGGTCGCAAGCCACCGCCCTGCTTCGCCGACATGGAGGAACGTCGCTCCCTTCAGAAGCTGTCCGCGTCCGTCGAGGAGCAGGTCGAGGACGCACCCAACGGGTCCTTGCGGAGAACGAGACTGTCCGCCGCCGGCCACAGCCTCAAGAAAGTCCAAGATTGACGAGTGGGGGCCCGCCTCCTCGTCCGGTCAAATTCGCCGCGCTGACTGGCGCATCCGGCGTCTGACATACACGTGCAACACTCGTATCGCCGTGAATGCTTCGTCTTCGGGACGGCTCGCGATTTGCCTTTGTGTGGGGACGCGTTCTATAGGTCACGTGACCATTTTATAAACACCTAACTTTTTTTTGAGGGGGGGGGGTGCGTATGTATACAGTACGATCACGCATATCAAATGACTGGTTGATGTTTCCGATATTCCAGTGTTCCCGTCAGCACGTATCGTTTTGGTCAGGTCATTTGATGTTAGAGCCTGTGCACGCGCTATTCGCACAGCTGCCACGCACGTGGCGGGACACCTGCCGCACGCAAGCGTAGAGCGGAAGAGCGTATCGAAAGAGCGGAGGGCAAGAGCGGTGACGCTCTTGCCCTCCGCTTGCGTGTGGCAGGTGTCCTGTCATGTGCGATTCGGCTTTGCGGATAGCGCGTGTACAGACCCTTAGCTGGGCTGAGGCTCGGTGGTCTGGCTGCAATTAAGAAATTAAGAGATGAAAGAACGCATAAATGTCGAAAAATCCGTTGTATAACGTGGCGCGCTGTCCCTGAGCAAAATGTGCGCAACAGTAAACGTGGGCGATGGTTCTGTTCGCGGTATGATAAAACAATAATGATAACAATGTATATTTGACCAGGAACATCACACTTCCCAATCATCTGCATGTTCACCCTACTATGAAGTTGTCCAGCTTTGATTCTGATAATGCCGTTGTTCAGGAGCATCCGCCGAAAAGCAACGGTGAAGTTTGTGCGAATCTTATTTGTTCAATTTTATTCCCTTTCTGTTTGTGCTTCTTGCTTGCGCCAATACTGCTATCTGTAGTCATTCAATTGAGATATTGTGTGTGATCCTTGTCACCGCATCATGCGTATAGATATTGATAGCTTACACATATAACACCAAGCTTCATAACGTATTGTGTCTCCAACATCGCGGCTTTGATGACGCAAAGGCAGCATGAATACCACGTGGCGATTAACAAGCTTTCATATGATAACAATGCTAATACAGTGTTATTAGGCTCTGTACGTAAATAACAAAAAAAAACGTATGTAGCATATCATGTGTTAATAACATTAACACGACGCCACAAACCTTGCGCTCTACTGCATGCTGTCCTCTAAACATGCCTGCAGTGTGAGTTACGTCAGTGCAACCACATCGGTGTTAGAAGCCGCTGACCACTGCTGGTAAGAGTAAAGACATCGCGACATGGAGGTTAACTAGGCTGAAATGTCCGCCTTGCCAGCCTGTGCAGGGCGGAGAAAAAGGTAAAGGTCTAGGGGAACAAGAGTGAACGACAGAAGACTTGGATGGCCGAGGCGAGGGACCATCCATGTAACTGGTACGTTCCTATGTCGATGCCGTCGATGCTACTGAATCGTCATGTTATTCATGCGAAACCACCCGAAAGGCTTCCGAAAAAGCTGTGTCCTGAACGCAGTCTTAGTTATGCGCTGTCTTGAAAAAAAAAACTAAGAAGGGGTATAGAGAAGGACATAAGTAGAAGAATCTACGCGCAATTTTCAACTGATTTCGTGCATTGTTCAAATATCTACTGGTTATAAAGGCACACGTTATACAGCCATAAAAGCACAGCACACTCACCTACACGTCATCCATCCTTCCCGTTTTCATCACGAGATTCACGTCTGCAGAAGGTAGATATATAGATGTCATGCTCATTCACGTCTACAGAAGGTAGATGTATGGACAGCGTGCTCTCGCATTTCTTTCACCAGAGATACTATAATGGCGGCTTCACAAATAAATCAGCTGTAAGTTGCGCTTTTCTCTTCTACTTTTGTCAGTCTCTATACGTCTGCTTCGTTTTTTTAAAACAGCGCATAATTAAGACTTCGACATGAACCAACTAGTCCCAATTGTCGCCTTCCTGAAAGCATGTGACCTCCGATGCCGGACTGATGCTGTCGGTGACAACTCACAGCAACCACCTGCAGCCGTGGCGCAGGGCGTGGCAAGGGAAAGCCCCTATTAGAAGAGGAAAAGGAAGGTGCATAGAAAGAGAGGCGGCATTTATAGATAAAGTGGTTCATTGCGGATTATTTTTTTTCATACCCTTTTTGGCTCTAGTGGCCTGCTGGACCATGGATAATAAGTTATTAATAACCAACACATGTTTGTTCCACATGGCAGGCGAGTCTAGTAAAACAACAAGCAAGAAATGACGCAGGTGACAGCATGAAAATCTCTTTTATCAGTTCATTGTTTTCCAGATTGTTGTATTATTCTGATCTTCATTCCATATAGACAAGTCATGCCTGAATGTTCGTTTATTTCTGTGACCATAGATTTCTTCCTCACCCGTAGTCACAATTTGAAAATATACAGTTCTCTTACATTATTCACCGGTTTCATGGTAAATCCCCCCGTGTGGGTAGGAGCCCCGTAAATTGGACCCTTTGTAAATATTAAAGTGTGTTCGGCGAAAGCCTGTGGCCATTCGACTGACAATGTCATGTTTCTCCGAACCGCTTGCCGTAGAATCATCACCGGGCATCTTGGGAGCCTTGGGAAAGGCGCGCAAGTGCCGCCATCTTGGACTGACAACGTTTCACTTTTGTATCCGTATCAAACGAACAGTGCTACGCTAAAATCGGACGCTCGAAAACGCTTGAGCTAGTAACATTCAACGTTCCATGGCCATGATAATTTCATTTTGCCACACTCCTTTGTAAATTTTTGTTATCGTCGTATTAGACGTATAAATGCTGCTTTGAGCAAACCCCGCCGATGGACTAAGAACGCACCGGGATAATGGTATAGAACCTTCCGATGCGATTACGTGCGCAACGTGAACATTACAGATTGTTCTGGCACAAAGGTGGCCGCTAGCGATATAACGCCGACACATTCGACGGCGCATGTGTAAATGCCGACGCTCTGCTCGCCGCTATAGCGATACACAGTGATACATATGTATCGCTGTAATATGACCTTCTCTTTACCGGCCATGAGTTCGGCCAAACAAACAATATTGTGGGCATTTGTTACTTACATCGACGATGGTAGCTGGGTTTTGGACAGCAAGTGCATTAAAGGCAACAGGCCCAATGCCTTTCAATAGGTGGCGCACTTTGTCCGATTCCGGCATGGATTGATTGACACGCCGCCACAGTGCGAGGACATCCTCGATGTATGAAGTGTACGATTCACCGGGATGTTGTCGGCGAGTATCAAGTGTCCTCTTCGCGACGGCGGATCGAATGTCCGGGGCCCCAAAAACGTGTCGCAGCTGCTGCTGGAAGGTAGCCCAGTCGGGTAGGTCAATGACGTGGTTAAAATACCATGGCGTGCGAGAGGTACTGGGATCGATACCCAGCACCTCCACCACGTATGAAGTCTTTGTTGCGACAGCGTTTAATTGAGGAAAGACCTCGCAAAACGAACGGGCAGAGCCAGTACACAGACGATGACGATGATGATGACCCAGAGTGGCAATGAGGACAAAGAGACAAGCGGATGATGGTGATTGTGATCATGCAGGGATGAGGACGATGCAAGTAACAAATGCCCACAATATCATTTCCGATACGCTGTCTCTGCTTTCGTCAGCGTCACGAACCCATGACATAGAAAACCGGCAAATCGATCACTTATCATTTCAAGATGGCGCCGCCCACTAGTCGAAAACAAAACCGGCAACATCGGGTGATCGATGAGAGAATGTGAGGAGGCGAGGCCTCATGTGGCATCGCTCAGCGCATTGATGGACGGACGCCGTGAGTATGAGACATTATAAATCGAGGCACAAGCAAACGAGCAAGCAAAGCGGCCAGCGCGACTGTCTGCCGTAGGTGATAGGCAGGCGCACCGCGGTTCTGTGGGCGGAGCTTTTAGGCATCCCTGATTATGCGTGACCATCCAAATTTTTTCACACAGCGTCCCGGGTCCCGCGCCGTTCCTTTCGGGACGTCTACGTCCCGGATTTGTTCCGGACCATCCGGTTACACATTTTTTGTGACGCTCGCCCAACAACACGCGTCACGCTACATTACACGAAGTTTTAACACGCACGGAATGGATTTGTTTGGAACATACCGCAAGAAACGACAAGCGATTTCACTGGCTTTCTGTTTTAGTGTACGACCACCCGCACGGTTCCTTTATTGAAGAGCTGGTAGCTTTTATTGAAGAGTGGTGATGCCGTTGTTCCTTTGCTACCCAACGCAGTGGGTGGTGCCACCGTTGTCGATTGCGCCGGCAGCGGCGACACCGCTCAACGACAACGACGCCACCGTTGTCGGCGTAATCGACAACGGTGACGACGCAAGATAAAGTGAATCGACTGTCGAGGTTTTGGGAGAAGGCGTGCGTTGGTCGAAGTGACACTTTGCCTGTGGAACACTCGTGCGGACTGTTGAACGCAGCGTTCGCCTCAGCTGCTCAGACCATGGGGGCCTTTGGTACAGAAAGCTGCACGGCAGCGGTTTCAACCAATGGGGTCCCGGAATAGAAACTCCACTTAATCTGCAAAAACCTCTGAAGAGGTCCTACACCCCTTTTTGTTTATAAATGCTTTTCACCGCCATCAGTCACCGGAAGCGGAAGTTGGCGACGCCAGGTTCACCACGTTACGTCTGAACGAAAACCGTGTAATCTGCACTACAGCCGGATGGGAAGGGGGATTCCTAAATGAAAAAAAAAAATGAAAAGTGAACCTGCTGTGTTGGGGGCTGGTTGGTCCCGACGAAGCAGAAGACGACGGCCGACGGAGATGAACGCGGCCGGCGGGAACGCCGACCAGCCCGAACACGCGGGTTGGCGCGAAGCGCCGAAGAGAAGAACAACAACCGCACTCCACGGTTACCCAATGCACACCCATTTTATTTTACCGTCGCCTTGAAATCCTGGATGCCAGAGCGGCGCCCCCTGGCATCCTCACATGTCATTCCGAAACAGAAACCGACAACCCAGAACAC